GGAGACGAAGAGGAGTGATGGGAGACAAAAAGGAGTGATGGGAGACGAAAAGAAGTGATGAGAGACAAAAAGAAATGATGGGAGACGAAAAGGAGTGATGAGAGACGAAAAGAAGTGATGGGAGACAAAAAGGAGTGATGAGAGACAAAGAGGAGTGATGGGAGACGAAAGGAAGTGTGAGAGACAAAAAGAAATGATGGGAAGTAAACAGGAGAGAAAAAGAAATAATGGAAAATGAAAAGATGTAATAGAAATAATGGGAGACGAATAATGAGGTGAAAAATGATGAGACAAAAAATAAAAAAAGATCATGATAGGAGGATGGGTAACTGAACCTTAACTGCAGAACCGGAAGGAACCGAGGAAATTAACCTATACTGAAAACGAGATTCAATGAACAAATAAACATGACGATCATGTGGCAAATATAAGGAGTAACGTAAAGTATTTACCAAAAAAATTTACGTTCCGTACCTTATATAAGAGAAGTAACGTAATAGATCATGTGACTTTACGTTACTTACTTTCTATATATTCGTTTTAAGTGAAGTATTTAATCATTTGAATGTTTTAGAATCAATTCATATTGTTTATTGTATTATAGATTCTAAATTTATTCAACAAATTAGTAATATTACTAAACCATTTAAATTGAAAACTTTATTTTTTGATGAAAGGGATGAATTATTAGAACCATTAATACAAAAGTCTGGCAATTATTTAGAAATCTTGGAATTAGGTGCAATGGATCACAAAAATTATTACAATACATTATAAAGTATTGTAGTAAAATTAAATTTTTGGATCCTGCTTGGTTGGATACTAGCCGGAGTATTTATTTAGTGTTCAACTTAATTGAAAATATTAAGCAAAATCTTAATTATCTTACAATTAATGTTCCTGCTAATTTTAATAATTATGTCGTAGTTCAATTACTATATTACAAAATTTAGGACAATTTCTTCCTGTTGGGTTAGAATATTGAATTTAATTCTTAGGATTAATACATATGATTTAGAAATATTTTTAAAAATTTTTCAAGATAATTTTATTAAAAAATTGTTAATTAAAAATATAAAGAAAGAAGAATGTCAAGATATTTTCCCATTTATAAAAGAATATATTGTGAAAAAGAAGCGAGTTAAATATTTGGCTATTAAAGAAATTTTTCATTTCAAAGATGAAGAATTGTTTTTACTGGAAGATAAGGTAAAAGAATTTGAATTATATGATATTAAAGTTCTTTATTATGATGATTTGGTTATTGATATTTGTGATTTTATAAAAGAAACTTATTAACTATATAGTATGCAATCTATATTATTTTATTATTGCAATAAATAAAGTTACATTAAATACTTATTATCAAAAAATAAAATTAAAGTAAATGTAAAATATTATAATTATATAATTACTGCCTTTTGTTGTTCATAAAAACGTTTTAAAAGATATTTGAATCTAAAAAATATTGTTACCAATCAGCTATATATTTTGGTTGTGATCAATTCGTTATAAATACTAATACAAGGTTGCCAAATAATATATATAGTTGGTTTACGCACTAGTTCATTAACACTAGCTGGGAATGGTTAGTATTCCAATTTATTTATATATGATGTTTAGTACGTTATCAGATGAACACAGGTATTGCAATTTAGACGTCTAAATATTAATCAAGCCATTTACTATCATCCAAACAATGAATGGACAACATCGTTAGACCCCAATACCATCTTGTTATAATATCACAAAGTCTTGATTCTAATTATTTTTTTTACCTTAATTTATAACAATTTATTTAATAATATTTCACTTTCGTTTTCCACCTATTATACTTGTAAATAGCTTATTCCAAATTCTTTTTGGACTTTCACCGTATAAATGTTCGAAATTATCTTGTGCAATATCATCATGCTCTTTTTTAACTGCTAATTTATATAATTCAAATGCTTTTGCTATATTTTTTTCCACACCTTTACCACAATTGTAACAACTACCTAAATTATATTGTGCTATCTTATGCCCACTTTCAGCTGATTTGTCATACCAGTAAACAGCTTGTTCTAAATCCCTTTTTATTCCCTTACCAATTTCATATAAAACTCCAAGATTGTTCTGCGCACTATTATGTCCTTTCTCAGCTGCTATGTTATATAGTTCAAATGCTCTTTTCTTATTGGCTTTAGTTCCAATTCCCTCATCATAACAGTATCCAAGTTCAAATTGTGCATTCAAGTATCCTTGATTAGCCGATTTCTTATAAAACTTAAAGGCTTTTTTCAAATTTTTTTTAACCCCTATCCCATATTTATAGCAACAGCCTAAATTATATTGTGCTGTACTATACCCGCTTTCTGCTGATTTATTGTACCAAAAAACAGCTTGTTCTAAATCTTTTTCTATACCTTTACCTTCTCTATATAAAACTCCAAGATTATTTTGTGCAATATTATGTCCTTTTTCAGCAGTTATTTTATACAATTCAAATGCCTTTGCTTTATCAATTTCAGTTCCAATTCCATTAAAGTAATAATATCCTAGTTTACATTGAGCGTTTAAATACCCCTGATCAGCAGATTTTTTATAATATTCAAACGATTTAACTATATTTTTATTCACACCTTTACCATGCTCATAACAACTACCTAAATTATATTGTGCTATTTTATAACCACTTTCTGCTGATTTTTTATACCAGTAAACAGCCTTTTCTAAATCTTCATTTGTACCTTTAACTTCATATAAAATTCCAAGGTTATTTTGTGCAAAGTTATGACCTTTCTTAGCTGCTAATTCATACAATTCAAATGCCTTTATTTTATTAACTTCTGTGCCAATCCCATTAAAATAACAATATCCAAGTTTATATTGAGCATTTATGTAATCCTGATTTGCCGACTTATTATAATATTCAAATGCCTTAACCTCATTTTTTATTACGCCCTTCCCAGTTTTATAACAATTACCCAGATTATATTGTGCTATTTTATATCCACTTTCTGCAGATTTGTTATACCAGTACAGGGCTTTTTCTAAATCCTCTTTTGTACCTTTATCTTCATATAAACCTCCAAGATTATTTTGTGCAAAATTATGCCCCTTCTTAGCTGCTTTTTCATATAATTCAAATGCCTTTATTTTATCAATATCAATTTCAATACCATTAAAATAACAATATCCGAGAATATACTGAGCATTTGAATATCCTTGATCAGCAGTCATTTTATATATTTCAAACGCTTTTGTTTTATCAATTTCAGTACCAATTCCATTAAAATAACAATGACCAAGTTCATATTGAGCTTCTAAGCAACCTTGGTCAGTAGATTTTTTGTAATATTCAAATGCTTTAACTCCATTTTTTTTCATATCTCTACCATATCTATAACAATTGCCCAAATTATATTGTGCTAATTTATTTCCATTTTCTGCTGCTTTCATATACCAATAAATTGCTTTTTCTAAATCTTTTTCTATTTCAATTCCATTTTTGTAATAATTACCTAATATATATTGTGCTGGTGAATACTCTCCTTTAGCCGATTTAAGATACCATTCAAAGGCTACCTTGTTATCTTTTTTAATTCCTATTCCATTCTGGAAGCAAATACCTAAATTATATTGCGCGTGTAAATCACCTTTATTAGCTGCTTTTAAATACCATTCAAATGCTTTCTTTTCATCTTTTATTGTTCCGATCTCATTTTGATAACAATAAGCTAAGTTATTTTGTGCATCAGAATTTCCTCCTTCTGCTGATTTTAAGTAACATTCAAATGCTTTAAATTCATCTTTATTTTTTCCTATCCCATATTGATAATAATAACCTAAGTTATTTAGTTCTACTAATTCTTTCTTTTCTATTTGATTTTCATTAAAACTTTTACTTTGTAAATTAAAATAATTTTCCATAACGTTTATTTCATCTTTGCATATATTTATTTTCAACCCATTAAAATTTTCAACCTGATTATGTGACATTACATGTAAACTTTCCAAATCTCTAAACTCCTTCACAATCAAATTTCTTTTATTTAAAATAATATCCTTATAATAATAAAATGATAATAAATATTTCGAAATAATAATATTGATTAATTGGTACATAGAAAATAATTTTTTATTTTCATAATTATTATTATTAATTGATAATAAATATAATTTTAAAGATTTATTTTTATCGATAATATTTGTGTCACCTATATCATGTTCATAAAAAAATCCTATTAAACTTGAAAACCAATTTTCATTTTCTTTATGTCCTTCCATTAATTTTAAAATTATTTCAGGATTTTTTTCATTATGATTAAGGAAATCTTGTATCCATTCTATTAATATTTTTTCGTATTTTTCGTAATTCACGATTTTTATTATTTGACGATAAAACTCTTTTAAAAATTCTTTTAGAAAATTTTCATCATCTTTCGAAATATTACTAGTATCACTTAAAGTCATTGTATTTTTTGGGAATTATTTTTTTTCTTTTTTTTTTCTTTTTAATATTTATTCATTTAATTCTATCGTGAATTTAAGTTAAAAATTATGCCAAGCAAAACCTGCACTGATCTGCCGTTTTCCGGTTATGGTACACAAATAGATCAGCCTTTTCCTTTTGTAAAATAAATCACCAATCAAAGTAAACCAAAGTAAAACCAAGTGATAGCCAAGAGTTACTATGAATTTGTGCAACCTAGTACACTGAAAAAAATGAAAACAAAAATGTGTTGCCAGGTTATGTCGATCACGTTGACGAATAAGGGTGACAAATAAATTTTTGGCACTAAAAAAATTAAGTCCCTCAGATACTTAATGTTTTTGAACTCGTGATCAGGTGACGCGTAAACATCACCCTTCCTATTATAGTAGTGATCGACACTAACTTGACACATTTCAGACGGGCTTATTGCATTATTCAAACATTCAGCAAGATGTGTAAGATGCTAACATAATCCTACAAAAATGAAAGTTGCTCTGTGTCTTTATTATAGAGTTTAAATTTCAGAACCATCCTTTTACATTACGCTTTAAATTTCTTCGGCTACTAGTATAGTAACTTTGAAAAAAATCACGCGATAAATTAATAGACCATTCTAATTTACAACAATGGCTTAAAAGTTTAATCAGGCGATAACTAACGTGCATCAGATAAAAATTATCTGACGCGTGGCTCATTCACATTAAAAAATATGTATATTATATTAAACTCAAACTAATGGAAAACACTTTACTCAAATTGATAATAGCAAATATAGGAGTCTGCAATATTAATTTTCAAATTAGCTTACTATTTAGATTGGAAAATCTTACTTATTTGGCCACACAAATTCAATTTTTCGGTTCACCCGGGGTTTATTGTTTATTAGTAAAAAAAGTTTATATATAAAAATCGTGACATTTGATTGGTTGACTTTTGATTTATTTTCGCTCTAGAAGTATGATAAACTTACCCGCCAATAAAAGTACGTCCTGATCACGTGATAATTTTTTTATATATAAACTTTTTTTTATTGAAATTTGAAAAAGTGATCCGGCACAACTTTTGGTTTAATAATATAGATTTATTTTCTTTTTTAAATGATACTTTTTTGGGAAGTCTGGTGGATACTGGATAGTTTTTTTTATTTTTTGTCCTTTTTCTTTTTATTTTTTCCTGGTCGGCAAATAGGTTCTGGGGACGATCTTGGATCCTACCCGTTCCTATTCTCCCTAAAGGTCAGGAATCGTCGCCTACGGGCGGCTTATTTGTTAGTGATAGAATTACTTTCGACTCATTTGTATGTTGTCCTTGTGATTTTTACTTCAAATTGGTTTTTTTGAAACATAAAAATAAAAAATAAAATGAAAAAGTGATCCGGCCGGGTGAAGTGAACCGAAAATTTGAATTTGTGTGGCCTTATATATCGTTTACTTATTCATGATTTTCAAATAAACAAATTATTCTAATGCTAAATCATAAGTATTACCTCGCTAATGTTAGTCGCGACCTTGTGTTGCACAAAGTTGTTAATTTCATTTTTAGATGTTGTTCTTATATTTCATACAATTTAATGCGATGCAGAAACTCTTATTCTTGTTATCAAATTATTTTTTAAATTTGTAATATATATAGTAGCTTTATTGTTATTTATATATTATGTTTTTTACAATGAAAATTGCTTAAGAAATAAATTCAACGTTATTGTTAATAGTCAAAATTTTTATATATAATTAGAAAAGCTCAGCTGTAATCGCAAAATCAAAAAATAAAAAAAAATGTGAAGATCATACGAAAGTTTGCGTTATAACACTTTTGTACAGTAAGGTCGTTATAGTGTACTGTATGTTATTTAAAATTAAAAAAAAAAAACTTGCCGATTTATTTTTTAATTGCACTATCTCTATCAACTATGCAAATATATACTAGATTATGTGATTTATACAGAAATCAGTACTTAAATCTTTCCCTTTTAGCTAATGCCCGGCAGAAAACCATTACCTTTCTTAGACACTAGTTGAAATTATCATAATTCTAGCCCGAAAAGCTAATGGTAAAAATTTTTTGGCTGCCTCTGACTTTTTTATATAAATTCAAATCTCGGTGATATCAAAATATTTAATACAGTTAGAATAATAATTTTTCAAAATAGTGTATCTCCACAAAAAAAATCACAAAATGAATTATTGTACTGTATTTCCCTAATAAAATTCCAAAAAACAGCTTATTTAAACTCATCATTTCTTTCCCTTACTAGATTGCGGTGGTAGTTGATATGAATTGATATTAAAATAGTTTCATTACTTTCATACGACAAATTATAAATAAAAATCATCAGATGAAGCAGAATTACTTTGTGAAGAAATCAATTTATATAAAAAATTGAAGACTTGGAATCCACAAATGTGATAACGAATAATAATCACGATATTCTTGAGTAATTCTAAAAAATAAATTTGTAATATATTTATAGATACTCGTTTAAAAATTATAGTTTTAAACATATCAAACGATTCGAAATATACATAAAAATGGTCAGGTTCGAATTCCAGCCAAAAGAAAATCATGAAAAAACTTTCTTTTTATAAATCATTCCTGGTGGAAAGCTATTACCTTTTGCGCACTGACTGAAATTATCATAATTTCGGCCTTGAGCGGCTGGCCTTTATATATATATATATTATACACTACTAGCCGTAACCCGTCGCGCTGCGTCGGGATATATATTAATTGCATATTATAGTATTATGTATTGAAAAGAAAATTCTGATTTATGTTCAGAAATTTTTTTACTTATATATAATACTAATTTTGTTTGTAATTAGAAATTCGAAGAATTGGAAGTAAATAAATAATTCAAAATAAAATAAATAATAAAATTAAATAAAATAAAAATTTAAAAAGGTAAAAAAAAAAAACCTAAGAAAGGGGTCT